TGTGGTATTATTTTTAAAAAAGGATAAAGACCCCCTAGTATCGAGTTCCTTTAGGCCAATTTGCCTTCTGTCGGCGATGGGAAAGATTTACGAGAAGCTCATCGTCAACAGGCTAAAATTTCATCTACATCAATACCAAAGCATTAGCCCAAGACAATTTGGCTTCAAACAAGGCAGTTCTACCACTCATGCCCTGCAGCGAATCCATGAAGTCATAATTCAGAACAAATCGCAGGGCTACCAGACGGCTTTTATATCGATAGATTTGCAAAGTGCGTTCGATACCCTCTGGTGGCCTGCCATCAGGCAGGCCCTCAGAGAGGCAAGATGCCCAAGAAATATCTTTCAAGTTCTGGACAACTATCTGGCAGACCGGCAACTGATGATCTCTAACAACAGTAGTACTGTTTCAATAACACAAGTGAGAGGATGTCCACAGGGGTCCTGTGCAGGGCCTCTGCTATGGAACCTCACCTTTAATAAAGTCTTAGAGGCAAGGTGGCCACAACATACTGTGTTAGTTGCATACGCGGACGACGCGGCATTACTGGTCAGAGGCCGCACACGCGCTGAGCTTGAAGCCCATGGCAGTGAGTCATGCTTTGCTTGCTCTGCGAAGAGCTGAATGGGGGGGGGGGGGGGGGGGGGGGGGGGGGGGGGGGGGGGGGGGGGGGGGGGGGGGGGGGGGGGGGGGGGGGGGGCTCAAAACCAACTCTGCGAAGAGCTAAAACTCAAAATATCCACCACAAAGTCCACTGCTATCATCTTTCCAAGAAAGGGTACAAATCCAACACGTAGCCCATGTATCAAACTACAAGGCCGGAATATTAAAGTCGTAAAAACTTTAAGATACCTTGGGGTAATATGGGACCCAGGTCTGACTTGGCTTCCGCATATCCAGGCACAAAAGATTAAAAACATCTGCAATTGCCAGGAGATCACGACAATTCCAAGGCCGGAACTGGGGACGGAATCCCCACATTCAAAAGGTACTTTATAAAACTGTAGCTGAGAAGGTGGCACTCTATGCGGCAGCTATATGGGCACAACCCATGACCGCACGCAAGGTTAAGCAACTCCTATCACTACAGCGCCCATTCGCCATAGGCTTATGCAGAGCCTACCGCACCACTGCAACTTATGCAGCACTCACCTTGGCAGGCATCATACCACTTCATATCCAAGCGGAGCTAGAGGCCACATATACTAAAATAATACATCTACAGAAAGACGCAACCTTTGCAGGCACCTTACATAGCCCTGCAAATTACGAACATCCATGTACTCCTCTCCACACGCACCCAGCACACAAGGGACTTGGCATTCACACTGTCCTCAAACCGTCACGAAGTCAACCAGAAGGAAACCCTAATATGCACGCGTTCTACACAGATGGCTCGAAAACTGCTGAGGGTGTAGGTAGTGCCTTTATATACTACAGGCAAGGCCATGCTGCCACACCATTGGAAAGGGCATCTCAATCCAAATAATAGCATTTTTCAAGCAGAAGTAGTTGCCATAACAGCTGCCATTGAATACGTGGCGCTCAACAACATCACACATGTGCAGCTTTATACAGACAGTATGTATGTCGACACTGCTTGCTCTTGACAAACATAGTCACGCCTCCCCGCTGATCATACGACTGCAGCATATCCTAAAAGATAATCGGCACGCACATGTTGACCTAGTATGGATTAAAGCCCATGCAGGTAACATGGGTAATGAGACAGCGGATGAACTCGCTAAAGAGGCTGCTTCGAACCAAAATGCCAGACCGATATCAGTATCAGCACCACCATCTTTCCTCAAAAGTCAACTGCGAAATGCCACTATCCAGTGGTGGCAAAGAGAATGGGATCAGGGCGACACGGGAAGGAGAGCGCATAGCTTCTTGCCAAAAGTAACCACGGAGCGCCTTATGGCAATCGCTCCCCTTACCAACTTCATTACTGGTCATGGTCCCTTCCCGGATTACCTCTACCGCCGCACCATCTCAACCACGGATCGCTGTGTTTGCGGGGGTGAGGGGTCACCGGACCATTATATCTTTCAGTGCCCACTCACGGAACAGTTCCACTTCCCGATACCAGCCAATATCTCAGCATTTCACAAGTTCCTAGCCAAAAACAGAGCGGCCATAAATAAAAATCTGCAAAATAATAACCACCATTGCAGCATATGGCCAGGACCTCTGTCAACCAGAGTAATATGGCTTACATGCATTACTTGCACTGACATATGCACTCTAATGCTCTACCATCTAATCTCTGACTGCATAGGGAGCAGAAGAAAATTGAACACCATTTTTAGGTGTTTAATTTCTTCTTTTGTTATAACCTATTAAGTGTTTTTTTTTTTTTTTTTTTTTTTTTAACCGTGCCTGTATGTTAATTCAAATGTACTTCAAATGCCAGATGTCAAACAGTTGCCCCTGTATGGCCATGTATCCACACTTATAACTATTAAATAAACTCCAGGGGAGGACGCGGGACATATGCCTGTTAACCTCTGTTAAACTTCAGGCGTCCCCGTCCTCCGTCACCTGTCACCTGTCATAAACGGGTGGGACTAAGGTAATGAAACTACTGAAAGTCACAATAGTAATTTAGTTATAACTCTAAATTAAGTTCTTCATTCAAAATTTATATTTTTAACAATTAAGTTTTGGATTTGGTGAAAATAAGTATAATAAATTGCTTATTCTAAACTATCATGTTAGAGTAATTCAGTTACGCCATTTATTGAAACGGTAAACAACATCCCCCTTGCCTCCAATACTTGTATTTTAAACAGCTTAAATATTTTCAAAAACATTTTAGGCTTCGGCATTACTACAAATAATAATAATTTTTTTAAATTTAAATTTACGTCTTCGAGTCCTTTAATTTTACCATTTTCACGAATGATTTTCTTACTACACAACTTCATAATCCCTTATGTACTATTAAGTAGACAATATTCATTATTTTATAAAATTTTAAGAAATGACTGTAATAATAAAAAAGAATTTTTTACGGCAAATGAACATAATATATAGCTTTTATTTTTCTATTTCTCAGTTTCCTAAAGGATGCTGTACTTTCTTTGCGCATATTAATATTCCATACATCAATAATTAGCAAATATCTAATTTACTTTTACTAAAAACCATAAATTTGAAAATAATACACAATCTTTCAAATAGAAAATATAAAAAAGTGATATAAAATATAACAAGTGCAATTGCAATAGAAAACATTATGCGTTTAAATAAGAACGCAAAAATGAACTATTGGATGCAAGTTTGCAATTTTTGAGACTTTAAAGATCGTGAAACTAACGATATTCATCATAAGTCGGAAACATTAGCATCATAACAAAAGAGAACAAAGAAAAATCAAATTCAGAATTGGAGGCAAGGTAAATTGCCCATTCAAAATTTTTCTGAAGACCCACACATTTCCATCCGAAACATTATTTTTCTTCTTAAGTTTCATTTTGGATTCACGCCTCTCACATCTTAAATCTTAAATCCCACAAAAATTAGGGAGGAGAAAACTTCTATCCGGAAGAGATAGATGGTTTGGTTTGGTTTATTTAATTATGGTAAAACACACTAAGGCTATCTGCCTAAGGGGAGGAATGCCTTCGTGGAAGACTTTCTAAGGAAAACTGCCTCTTATACACGTTACACATGAGGAAACCCACGATACGCCCACGCAACCATCCTGTTTGCGGGATTCGAAACTCGAACCGAACTACCAGTGTTCAGCGACTTTACCACTCGGCCGCTGGTTGACTCCTGGAAGGGATAGAAGGAGGGCGAAAAAATCTTCTATTCGGTTTCATTTCGTATTCACACCTCTCACATCTTAAATCAGATTTAAAAAATCTAAAATTCCACAAAATTAGGGAGGAAAAAAAACTTCTATCCGCATGGAAAATCAATGCACAAATGCAACATTGATAATACCAACAGCATATTTATCTAGAAAATCTGGACCTAATGTCATCCAAAATACGTGACTGATTCTAAACATCTCCCACCGACATTCCAGCCACACTAAATAAACAATAAAAATAGCCACACTAAATAAACAATATATAAACAAAACAATAAAAATTGAGCAAATACATCCAGATAACATCCATGTGCGATTCAGCAAATAAAATCCAGGTGAATGTAGCGACTAAACACAAAATCACTCACATACAGAAACGCTTAGTTAAATGGGTTGTCATACGAAACAAAGTCTCGCCAAGATCTCATGCTTAACATGCAAGACAAAATATCGCCAAATCTGGCGGACGAGGATCTGGCACTTCTGTATTCAAACTGAAGAACAACGATTTATACGTATGTTAAAGAATAAAGCACATAATTACTATCTTTTTGTAATATGGCATATTACATATAAAGCAGATAGAAATGCCACCAAAATTTTTCTCCCAGTTAATATGCGCATTTATTTAATTTTATTATTATTATTATTGCGTGAATTCGAAGCTAAAAGTTGTAAGGATCTTAAGTTTTACTAACGTTTATTTTATTTTGAAACTTTACTATCATCTCTTGTTTTCCACTTCCGGCCAGAATAAACGCGTGAATATGTTTATGCAAATTGTACTTGCTAACCTCCTATTTAAATTTAGTTAGTTAGTAGTTTTTTATATTTTTACGTTCAGACCACAAGGGGTTGGTCTTTATATCCCGAAGTGGGGGATCACCTGTAATATCGTGGAGAATAAAGGGTAATTAAACCCTTCTCATCTTGTCGTCTCTTATTCTCTCCATAAGACTTTGTAGTCAAACTCACTGTCTAGTCAGGACACGTCATGTTCGCCAAGCGGATTAGAAGAAATACTTTAGAAGTCCTGATAGAGTTTAGAAAAAGTACTTGTTATGGTCTTACACATATCCAATTCCAGATTTAATACAAAAAATTTGTTTATGTACATAAATCAGTTAAATTTACTTAAATTACTTAAAATAGACTCTAAACGAAGAAGTTACTCACTCTTCTCCAACTACGAGAATTTCAGAAATTTCATGAAATCTCTCTTGAGCACCAACCCGAATTCCCATTGCAGTACCTGAAATGTATATGGAATAGCTTTAGAATACGCAATAAAATAATTATAAAATAGGTGTTGAAATTTTATTAATTAAGAGTTTAAGAATCAAGAATAATTAAATAAATTTTAGATTGTATAAAAGCTCGATCCTGGAAAAATGTAAATTATTAATTAATAAGCATGTTTTTAGTTATTCTTAAGGAAATTGCAAGATGCCGTTTAATAATAATAACTGTAAACGATTTTTAAATAATTTACCAATCGAATTTTGAGAAAACATTTGCGATCGGGACAGTGATAATATGAGAAACTGCTTGAATAATTCGTGTGTTGAATTTTGTAACTTTCCTCTATTGCGTCATGCAACGTATTTTCACACACACTAACATAGAATAACTTCTGCATTTATCTTTAACAGGTATATGAAATAAGGTAAATTTTAAGAACCAAAAAATAAATTTTTCTCCTTCTCCATTCCGTATTCCATGTTGAGATGTGCTTCTTCCCGCAATTATTTAATTTTCGCCTCATAATGGTTCATAATTAATGGATACATAGTTTGGCTGAGATATTTCAGAACTTTCAGATGGAGAGCCCATTTCAGCTTTTGGATTAATCTTTGAAGATAATTTTCTATGGAATAAGAGATTGTAGAAGGAATTTTTGGATTCTGGTACATGCTACTTTCAGAAGTGATAAAAATCCAGGATGTATATTGTTGCTTTTTTTTTACTTCTGTTACGTTTAAGGGGTTCGTGCGGATTTGGATTTAATGACGACAGCACTTGAATATCGAAACACACTTTATTTACCAATAAGTATCAGGACAGCTCCAAAACCCTTTTATAGTCGTCGAAGATGTACTTTAAACACGCTGGAACAATCAGTTACACAGCCTTCAGGTTATCAGGCTATTACGGTGGAGACAGCTTCACTGCAAAGCAACAGAGTACAACTTCCGACTCTGCTTGGTCGTTCTCGGAACTTCACGTACTCTCCACGCTACAACTTGCGATGCACTCGACGACACACAGAGCACGGTTCCCTACTCTTCGGTTCAGTCGTTCCCGGAGCTAAATACGCTCTATCGACGATGCACTAACCGCGATACATTAAGAGACTCTTTCAGTGAACTTGACGACCCACTTGGCACTCGCTGCCCGGCTGTCAACTCGATCGACTCCGCAGGGATTGACTCGCTAGACGAGACACCAACTCGATACTGACTAACTCGCGTTCTAGACGAGGTAAACTAAATTGACTGCGGACCAGCAAGGTTTATATAGCTTTCGGCTTGTGTTCGAGAACATTCTGGGCTAAACCAGTAAGAATTCGTTTCAGAAGGTTCTCCAACCGTCCATGGTATATCGCCAATTTTGTCGCCAATTCGCGATTTCTCGCCAAATGTGGACACTCTGCCTTCTTTTGCCATTTTATGGCAACCCTAAAACTGCTTTGTGGGGAAGCCATCTTACCGCGCCTGTATATTTCGTAACAATATGTTCTTAAATTAGTTTGAATGGCGACATACCCGTTGTACTATAACGGTTTCAAGATAACACCTTAAGTAGTTTTGGCGATACTGCCCTTGACAGTAATAGTTTCAGGCCATTCAGTGCACAAATTTACCGACACTTTATATCATGTAATGATATAAATATATCGTAACATGAAATAAAGACATAAACCGAGACTTTATATCATGTAACGATCCACTTAACATGTAACAATGGCCTCTATACTTCAAAGGATGCATACGGTCTTACAACTGGGTAGATGTGTATTCGATCTTTATATGATACACCACTTCTTAATTCACTGGCATAAAGCCGTTTCAAAATTTCTTCATATCTTGTCTGATAGTAAGCCAAATGTAGAAATACTTCATTTGTTGTGTAGCCTTTTGTTCTTAAGAGCAATCAGCGTGAGGGATCTCGCGGATCACTTTAAAAACACACTTTGTTTTACAGGTTGGAAGCACGACTTACTGTATATTCTCTCCGCATATAATTTATTCCGAATGTGGCAGAACACTTTCATATATTCTATAAAATTTTGATGCTTTTCAGCCATTTCCCACACCTCGTAAAAGGTCTCGTCACTTTTTTAGAATGAGGCTATTTTGTCCCCCCACGACCTGATGATTATTCCTTCTTATCGAAGTAAGACAGAACCTATGTAGCTAATTTGCCTTTGTCACTTCTTGGTTATTTATTGTATTCATTATTCTTCCCCGCATCTACCTTTTGCCAACCTAAGCAATGTGTTTTCAACTTTTTTATTTTCTAGAATAGTGCAGCTTCCGACAGAGCTCCATATGCTCTTGAGCTTAACACCAGACGCTTACAAGTTTCTTTAAGACGGCTTATGTTACCAGAACTGGATGCATGTAATCCATCATTAAGGACCATTTCGATAATTTGCAAAGAGATTATCTCCTTCTCTCTGAAACAGGAATTTCTTTCAATTCCTACGTGACTCGTAAATAAATCCCCACGTGTTACCAAAATTTGAATTTCTCTGTGCACTATTTCTTCGAATACATTTTCTCCTTACCTGATATTTACAATTTTTTAATTCACCAAAATTATTGAAAATCCATCTTTAACCTGCATTGGTGACGCTACTACAGCTTCTATTTTGGCAGTTAATGTAAATAGATTAACATCAACTATAGACTTCGAGGTTTTTTACGTCATAGCTACGAAAAGTTTGATTCTCTTTCTTACCTGATTCTACCTAGTAGGACAAAATCAAGACAATTTAATTCTCCCGAGTCGCATGAAAACATACAGTAATATATTTTCTGTTGGAAGTGACTGAAACGGCAAGTTTCTCCGCATGAAGCTGTTTGAATTGTTCCAGTCGTTTTTTGACAGCTTAATCTAAAAGTGCTCAGTTTCATCGATCTTTTCTACTAATCAAGAGTATGCTACCTTATTTTTCCCGTTACTCGCCTTTTCACGTGATCAGTCATCATTAAATCTTTCATTCCCTTAAAATACTTAATCTCTAGCCCATTAATCCTTTCTTGGAAATAATTCCGGCTCTGAATAATCAGACTTTCGCCAGAGTTTTATGGGCGATGGAGATGATTTTAGTAAACGGAGGTTTTTCTGTTGGTTAGCATATATTCGTTTCAGTTCCTGGAAATTTCAAAGCAATAAACGACTGAGTTTATTAATCAGTAAGTTTAATAAATGGCTGGCAGTGTATAAAAAATTAATTTTTATCTCCTTTACAAGGTGGGGTAAAAAGATTACACTAAGAAAAGCTTAATATTTTTTGTCTTCTATATATTAAAAAATACCAAAACCTTACTGTCAAACTGGAATATTCAAAGTTATAAAACACGTCTTTTCGTGCAAACGTTTTTTAGGAAACTAGATCAGTATCAGTAGGAGGGTTAACAGAGACCACTGAATTGCTTTGTCTGTCTTTGATAGATGCACTGAAGTGGGAAGTGATCTATTTAATGACCTAAAGAAATGTTCTCTAACAAATCGGACGTAACCTTTATCTTTGGCTATGGTTTGCCTGAATGGTGTTGGAGGAGCGATCGTGTTTTAAATCTTCGAATTTATTGATCCAAAAGTTGTCAGCCAGACACCAATAACATTTGCTGCAGATCTTTCTCTTTGTGAGTTCTTCAAAATCAGGTATGGGTTAATATCAATTTTGTTTTCTGCATACACAAGAAAACAGCACGTAAAGCAAAATAGTCCCAGGTACCTATTGCGTGTTCATTGTCCTCTCAGCTCTTCGATTACATGCGAAGAAAACAAATTCCCATGCTGCTCTTGTATAACTTGTCGATATAGTGAAAAATTTCAAAAAGCATCTTCTTGGAAAGGAAATGGAAAGTTTTTCTCCCCGCTAGCGACACCCCTATTAATATTCAAAGTAATTTCTTTATTTTTTGAATGACATTTGGTTATTTTCTTTATTTCATAAACTTCTGTTTAAATTTTAATTTAACAGAAGATTTTTCTGTTTAAATTAAAATATTTAAAATGCGATTTAGATTTGTATAATTCTACAAAATTTGGATTTTATAGTTACAGTTAGTTTTGTTGCATTAACCTAATTTCCTATTAATATTTTTATCATAAAATGAAACTTCTTTAATTTTCACTGGAAATTAAAAATTCATTTTTACGCAAAGCATGGCATGGCTTGTGAGTCCCAAGAACATAATAATGGAAGATAAAGCAATAATAGAGTGTTCCTTATTATCTACAAAGAAGTTTTCGCTTCTGCCAAAGGCTCATTGTTGCCCACGTTTGTTAATGTTTCATTTGTATTTTGGCAAAGGAATTACTAAATCTAGAAATATTATCCATGAAGTTCTCGGCTGCCACAATTTGAATATTTCTTCTCACCAAGCCTCTCCTAACAATTGAAAGATCTGATTTTGTTTACCAGATTATGGGCAACATGCGAGTGCTATCAGCTGAAGAAAGGGATGCTTTCGGGGAAGAGATTCTAAGGGAACACGGCTAGTATCCACATTACACACGGGATAAAAACGCCCATGCAGCTCTCTCGTTCACCGGAACTGGAGCCAAATCGAACAACTAGCATGCAGCCTTACTTAGTTTAGTAATTTTATCTACTTTGGCGGAAATAACTGAACATTAAAGGCGTTCATAGGGGTGTAATATCTGAATAATCGTCTAAATCACTGACACAAAATTCCTTTTCATCTGAATCAGAATCGGAATCTCTGCTGACAGTCTGAATCATTGATTCACCCACCAAACTCTTTTAGGTCGTCTTTGTTCCAATAAGAATGTTCAAGTTTTTCTACGTGGTTATAGTGCGCTTGTCATTCTTCAGAAAAGACTCTGTCCAAAGCTTTATGCAATAAATTTTTCAAATTTACTACAGTTTGGCGTTGTAAATTTGAAGGAAGCTTTCCCAATATCCATTTTTTTAAAAAATTTTCATAGTTCATTTCTACATTGTAAGCCCCGCTTTGAGCTGATGCTTTGCATACAAGTTGAGCACCTGGAACAAATCGTGTGGAACAACCAGCATGCACAACAATCAGTCTACATTTTGAATTAGCATACATTTGCGTTCCCATAATAGTGTCATCTTGCCTATATTTCTTGAACGTTAAGTTACTGTCGATCCATGTTTCGTCGACGTAAACCGATGTGGCGTTCACTTTTCTTGACACTTTTCTATGTAATTACGTCCTTTGAACATTTAATTCTCAAGCTGAATATCGTAAATTTCAACTTTATAAAGTTAAAGTTAAAATTCACGACATTTTTACCTTTTTATAGGGTACTTTTGTATTCTATTTTTACTGACAGAAATTAGTAGCATCACATTTGTAAACTAATATCTGAAATTTGCGTTAGGGCTTGATAACTATCTAAATCCAGGAGGTAAAAATCTAGATCCTCAAAAGACTGCATTCCTGGAAATCTTATTTACCCTTCATATAAACAGAAAGAGTTTACTTATATTACTTTTAAACTGATTATGCAAGTATTAAACCTTGTCATAAATTCATATTATTCATTGAAACTGAATTTCTTATTCATGTATTAAGGAGTACTTACGAAAGATAATATCCACTGCACAGGCAATGATCATATCTTCAGCGTGAATCCATGGTTCGTTTACTTTTTCCTTCAGTTTTCCCACAAGCACCAGCGAATATTCATTGAATATGGGAATTAGTTTGCTCAAGTTTCTCATATGAACGCATGGTTGAATTAATTTTCTTCTATTTCGCCATTTTTTGCCATTGCTGAAAGTAATGAACAAAATAAATCAGCCTTCGGATATATCAGTTTTAATCACAGATTTCACTTTCTCTTATGACATGAGTATTTAAACGAACTTTCTAAATCAGTTTACAAAATGCGCCCTATATTACAGCATTATTGAATAAATATTTTGCAACTGCTGTGTAAACTAATGAGGGTTTCAATGTTGTTCGTTATTAATAAATGATGTAATAAATGCTTTTCTGTGATTTTATCTTAGAATTCTATAATTTTAATACTTTAGAATAATTCTTAATCTAATAATCCTTAAATATATTCAAATTACTTAATACATTCATACAAAAAAGGAAGAAAAGAAAAGACAAAGAAGATTAATTAAATTCAAACAAATAAATTTGTAACAAGTTTTTATTTTTAATCAATAATTTAATCACCCTCGTTATCAGCAACCTTTTGCCATCTAGTATGCCGATTTCAATCCCAGACCGATAAAAGTCAATTGGTTTTTGAGTAAAATATCTCGAAATGGCGTTTTGGACATCATCCAAATTTTCAAATTTTCTGTCACTAAGAACATGTTGTAGGGATCGGAATAAATGGAAATCCGAGGGTGCGATGTCGGGCGAATATGATATCGGGCGTGAGGCAGTACCTCCCACCCCAAGTCACTATATTTTTCTTGTGTTCGTGCACAGTATGGTCTTGCATTGTCGTGTTACAGAATGACTTTGCATGTAATGGATAGGTTGACTTTGTTCTTTTCGGACAGTTTATGGGGAACTGAAACACCTGCTTTGCTTATTTTTCCATTCTGCTTTAAGTGTTCTTTGATGGTTGACCAAGGCTGTTTAAGATTCTTCGAGACGGATTTGCTTCCACTTCTGCCCTTAGCATGTTGTTGTCGACATGCGCAGAATGGACATTACTTTCCGGTCCCCTTATTACATCCGATTAGCTGGGGTTATAGATAGAACAACATTAGGTTTATCTCAAATAACGAAGAATGCGAGGGCAAGTTAAAAACCATGGGAAAGAGCAATACCCATACTAAAATTAACAGAAAAATACTATATCCATTTAATAGGAAAATGCTATTCAAAATTTATTTCCTATTTAAAGCAATTTAATCTGCAAAATATTTTAATTTTATTACACAAATTAAATGAGCATTGGAAAATAAAAAGAATATGGAAAAAAAAAATCTTCTAAATCGTGGAAGACATTAGAAATTAAGTTATAAATGCCAATAAAGAAAAATATTACAAAAGAACTCGTGAAAGACAATAGAAATTACGTTATAAATGCCATAATATCATTAAAAATTAAGTTATAAATGATATTAAAGAAACAAAATAGAAAAGAACTTGAACATTGCCATTAAGGCCAAACTCCTTTCAAAACAATTAAAATTTTTCTCTGCTTAACGATGTATGTAGATTAATATTCTGGAATGCGTATAATTAACTAATTCACATAGTGTTGCGGATATAAGCAAATTCCAAATAATATGATTGCAAATGCTATTATTACTAAAGCCTAGACTTTTTTCTTTCCATTTTTGTATCTTCTGTAGATTTGCGTTAGGCTGACGGTGTTTTGCAATAAGCCAATAACTTCAATTAGTTAAGGCTTGGCTAATCTACCTCTAGATAATATCGGGAAGCGATTGTAAATTCATAAATACGATTTTTATTGACTGAGCATTATAGTTTATGAAAAGTTTTTTCCGTAGGTAATTAGCAATTCCATTTATAAAAATAAAGAATTTACGTAAGTTTTGTTATGAAATTTAACATAACGATTTAAAATTTAAACTAAAAAAAGTACTTTTGAATTTTGCTGTTTTTTGTGTGTATTTAAAATCATAAAAGCTTTATTTATGTTTTACTAACGAAAATTTTGAATTCACTTCTTTTCTTTCTGCCTCTTTCCATTACTAGGTTCACTCATTTCAGAATTTATGTAAATTCGAATGGCAACAGTTTTACTGTAAAGTTCAGAATTTTACGAGTTTGCTCTCTCTACAGAAAAATTAATGCTGGGGTCCCGCAGGTCTCCGTTATTCTACCTGTTCTCTACATATTGGTACGAAATGTCAAGGCGCGGTGGGATAGCTTCCCCGCAAAGCAGCTTTAGGGTTGCCATAAAATGTCAAAGGAAGGCAGTGTTGCCACATTTGGCGAGAAATCGTCCATTTGGCGACAAAATTGGCGCTATGCCATGGACGGATGAAGAACCTTCTGGAACGAATTCTTACCGGTTTAGCCCAGAATGTTCTCGAACACAAGCCGAAAGCTATATAAACCCTGCTAGTCCGCAGTCAGTGAGTATTGAGAGTGTGTCTCGTCGAGAGGGCGAGTCAGAGTGCCTCGTCTGGAGTGCGAGATAGTTAGTATCGAGTTGGTGTCTCGTCTAGCGAATCATGTAGCCTGGAGAGTCTCGAGAGTACGTGGAGTTCCGAGAACGACCAAGCAGATTCGGGAGCTGCACTTTGGTGCTTTGCAGTAAAGCTGTCTCCACCGTGATAGCCTGATAACCTGAAGGCTGTGTCGCTGATCGTGTCAGCGTGTTTATAGTAGCTCATCGACGACTGTAAAACGTGTTTTGGAGTCCTGACAATACTGGCCAATAAAAGCGTGTTTCGATACTTCATCAAGTAGTATTGGCATTAATCACTCCAAATCCTCACGAACCCCGTACGAACGGGAAGAAAGGAAATAACATAACAACTGGTGTCAGAAAAGAAAAAATCGTAACAATATTTTATGTTTCCGACTTTCCAAAATTTGATTATTACAATTCTATGTTGGCATACTACGCAGACGATACTGCCTTGGCAGTAAAGTCTGCTAACATCAGTTTTGCTATTCAAAAACTTCAGCAACATATCCCCTCCTTTGAAGACTAGTGCAAGCTCTGGAAAGTGTGTATAAATGCCCAGAAATCCCAGCTCTTATATAAAGAAGAAAACGGAATGCATCAGTTAAGACGCATTTGTTACTCTTCAGTGAACCTGTACCGGTTGTTAAGGAGGCCGAATACTTAGGCGTGATGCTCAATCATAAACTTACATGATCTCCTCACATTTTAAATGTCAGAAATAAGGCCATGTAGATTCTTAAATAATGCCTCTATTCTATCATAGGCAAATATTCAAAATTGAATTTTGCAAAAAAGAGACTGATTTACTTAGCTATTATCCGACCTATTATGACTTATGATTCTCCGGCGTGGGCAGCAGCCGCTGATTCGGACCTACATAAACTGCAAGTTCTGCAAAATAGATTCCTACGTATTATCACCAATTCTCATTTTTACGTACGGAATAATCTCTTCCACCAAGACTTGAGGATTTAACTTGTAAAAGATGTACTCCGCAAAATTAACAAATAATTCTTCACTCATGCACAGGATTGCGAGCACTTAAATTACTTTAAATACACTTCACTGCGAAGTTTTAAGTGAAGATAAATATCTCAGGCCGTATGCTACTTTCCTGTTAAGTACTAATCAGAACTTTCCCACTTAAATTTCAATTTCTCATTCTAAAATATCTATTTACGACTTACTCAAAAATAAAGCAGCAACTTGCTGAGCTCCGACGTGGTTGAGTGACCACCGCACATAACTCTTTCGCCATGTAAATTGTACTATGCAGACAGTTGCTGAACTTTGTGCGCTAAATGTGTATATGAATTCTTCTACTATCATCATTCTGCTTTATTCATATAAAATTATTCTTTTTTTTTTTTTTTTTTTTTTTTTTTTTGTTATTGTTGTTTCACTACTGAACGACCGCCTTCAAGCATCATGTGACTACTTCATCTCAATTACTGTGAATTGTTCTGCCATTTACCCTAGACTTAGAATAGTGCATTCTAATATCAATGCATTAAGACTTAATTTGTATTATGTAAAATTACTATTTATGATATTTTTAATCTCTCAAATGCATAAAAATGGCATTTGCAGCATCAAACTTTGAAATGCTATGCAGCCTATGCAATGTGATAGCCATGTCTAAGTGGCAAAATGGTTACGCCCCCTTCGATCCTGTCCTCCTGGAGTTACTGTGCTGCACTCATTCCACTTGAAGCGCCCTTTTATGGCACACGAAGTTCTGACAGCCGGAACACAGCACGAACTTTTCATACTAATCTCGGCATGCAGCGGAAGTTGGAGTAAGTGAACATTTGGCAATGTGTTCCACTGCCCTGTCGACTGAAGAAAATGTCGCATGTTGGCGACAATAATGCTGGTCACGCTGTGAGTTTTGCAGATTGAGTAACGTCCTGTTTTCGTAAGTATGCTTTTGAAATTCTGTCGCGGTCTAAGTAATCTTGTGATTTCTAGTCAATTTAGATTAAAACTGTTGAAATTATACCCTTCGTGAAATGAAGCTTTGAATCTGAAACCAAGTCCAGATTGACTTGTAAATTTGCATTTGATTATTTTAATTTAAGCACTCACAAGAGGGGAAGTAGAATAAATTTAAAAGTTTTTAAATTCTGTTTATTTAATTGTTAGATATTCTGATGGTGACAATTCACAAACAGATGTAACACCTTATCGATACTTTATTGATATAGCTAAGTTATTTGGAACCTGTTTACATTCACGTTTCTCGTAATTAATGTACGTCAATTCCTTGCCCTGCATTGGCCACACGCTTTCGAATTTTCGTCCTTGGAATATGGTTGCTAGAATTAGACGACTTGTAACTGTTTTAATACTTATTTTTAATTGAACTAGTATGTTATCAGATTATTATTTGATGTTTATGAATGGATATTTAATTTTTATATATTTACAATTTGATTTATATGAACTTTGAGTAGTTGAATTTACTAAAGAAATATTTAAAAAAAGAAGTTGAATTTCTTAAAGAAATATAAAAAAAAGAAACTTCTAATTTTGGTGCCATTCATTTAATGTCCAATAAACAGAACCCATAGCAGATTTTATAGCTTAGGTGCTTTAATATAATTAAAATTTAATAAATGGTCATTAAGTTAAATAATATTATTATAATTAACGATTTGTTTATTATTTTAATGAGTTGGTATTATACGTTTCTCATTTCTTTCTGCAGCTGATATTTATCTTACTTTATCAAGAACCTATTTACTCCAGCAAGTGAATTCGGTGTGCATTTAAAATGTTATTTTGTAAAAACAAAGGCAAAAGACGAAATTATTGTCTTAATGATGATACATCTATCGTACGTATTTCAGGGAAAATGAAATCCCTTGCATATAATATATTTATATCAGTTTTAAGAGTTTACATGATGTATTGGTATAATCAGGTTTATCAAGTAATATGAAATTAACCTGGTAACTAAACCAGTTCCCATAATAGGTTCAAAAGCAACGTAATCCTTAGATTTGTCATCAGCAACTCGGCTGTTAATCACCTCCTATAAAAAACAAAAATAAACATAAAGTTTAATACTTGTGTTGAAATTATCTTTGTTTGTATCGCTATTGATCACATTTCATACAGTATTAGTGTGTGAAACTACATATATGAGATCTGGCAAACATTGTACTATAAATAAAGTATAAATAAATAGACAGTATAAATAAAATATTTTTAAGCCACCTGAAATAATCGTTGATGAAGCAAACGGCCGTGAAATAGGTTTCAAATAGGAAGAAACTTTCGAAGTAAATTAATGATTTACTTTCAATTCTTATTTTTCCTTCTATATAATTCAGGAATGTGTGTTTGTCTTCAGGTAGGAAACCAAGAAAAGATTTTCATCTGATTTACTTTAGCGTTATTTACATTTGTTGATTATTTGGTTTTAGCAGAACTAAATTGAAAAGTCAGGAGAAGATATAATGATCTTTAAGTGTAAAATAATATAAAAGCATATGTGTGAAGAATAAAACACTAACAAAAAAGAAAATCTGAAAGGTTTCCTGTTTTAAATTACGTCCAAAGGAGCGTTTCTTTTAACATTTTGTGTGTTACCTTTATGTATAAAATTTCATGTTCTTCGCACTTAAACCATAAAATTCAGTTCAAGAGCAATATCGCAAAATAATTTTAAATTGAGCCTATCATTAGAATTTCCGATACACAGTCTCATGAGCTGGAGATAATATTTTTTTCTGTACAACGTTGTCATGGCTCGCTTCGAAATCCTTGAGTTTGTAAATCAAACATTCGTTAAGTTTCGCAAAATATGAGATCGATAATAAAACAAATTCGAAATTTCAAATTTGGGCTTCTACATGCCCATATTCGCAGTATGATTACGTCGTTCAAAATTCGATGGCTCCATGTACCGTTGTTTTATCACAATGCGAGAAATATACATACATTTATGCAGATTTTTCAATATTTACAAGGGGGGATCAAATGAAAAGGTACGAAACGACACGGCGGGGACAAATGTAGACTTATTCAAAATACACCATAGGCCTGAGCACAACGATCCACTGATGAACAGCCGCGGATTCCTTGTTCCCAGAATCCTGCAGTGACGACCAGCCTTACAGCGTCCTTGAGTACGTCGTCTGAGTTGAAGCGATTCTCTTTCAAGTGTTTCTTCAGTGGACCAACACATGGAATCGCAGGGCGACATGTCGGACTGTAGGATGGAGGTCACGAAATGGCCAGTTCCAGTGTGTGACTTGGAGACGTGGGACGCGCGTTATCTGGAGCAGAAACGCACCCTCTGTGAGCAGCCCCGTCTTTGTTCTTGATGGACCTGCGTAGGCGTCGGAGTGTCTCACAGTACACATCAGTTAAGGTTTTCTGTGCTCGAGAATTCCACAACAGCGACCTTGAACGTCGAAAAAGCGGTTAGCACACACTTGCCTGCAACAGTTTTAACTTTTTAGAGGAAGGTTTGCTTGCTTCCCTGTATGCTGTTCCGCTTTGTCTGGCTCGTGGTGATGGCACAAGGTCTCATCCCTGTGACAATCCGCTCCATGAAAGTGGGGTCTTCCTGATACGAAACAGATGTTGCAGTAAGCCCCATACGCAGTTTCCTTTTGCTGGTGGGGAGCTGCTGGAGCCCAAGCGGCACAACCTTCCGACATCGCAACCTGTCGTGAACAATTGTCCACACGGACATAGCTGACAACCTTCACCGCCAATCTTCGCAATGTGACACGCCGATCACTTCTCACTAGGTCATCCACCTGTCGATGAGATCGCTTCATAATGAAAGTGTTGCTGGCCTGGTCTCGGGTCATCACCCACTCTCGTGGCCTGCACGAAGCGGGCATCCATTTTTGACAGACTTGTCAGAGACACATTTCTCCCATAACTGTCACCATCGGCGATGAATAGCTGGGTTTCTCACCTTCCGCTGTCAGAAATCGGATAACATATTGCTGCTCTCAGTCGTCGAATTTGCAACGCGATCTCCTCCTGTCCTCTCGGACTGCCACTCATTGGACGCGCATTCTCCGATCCAGTCAGAGACCCAATCGCGTCCAGAGATGTCTCGCTACGTTCTCCCAGAGAGATATGCAAATTTAAATTTACGTTTTTACGTCGTTTCGTACCTTTTCATTTGATCACCCTTGTAATTTTTTCAAATATAATGCAAGACCTAAACATTTGTTGGCAAAGTTGACAAGTGCACGGAATTTAAAACCAACGCAAAATCGCAAAACGAAAACAATAGTCCTTCAGGGACAAAGCCCCTTTGGACTAAAGAAGGATGACTGCCGTCGAAAATTATAATAGCTTTTTTTATTTTAACTGTCTGAACAGAACATTCACTCAATTGGTGCTCACAATTTAATCACCACTTGCGGCTGAGTAACTTAAACACAAAATAGTATGCACAATTAGAATGAATTAACTTTTAACTACACGATTGACTCCTAGTTAAGTCTAAATCAGCTTTATTGGTTGCACACAACAAAACCACGTCTAGAATATCAATATAAATTAAATTAAGTCGCTAGCACAAAATATTCAGCAATAGAGGTAACACGCTGCATAAGCATGCATAGCCTATGCTAATCGGGGCAATAAATTGGAACTATTCTCTACAGGGTTTTTTTTTTTTTTTTTTTTTTTTTTTTTTTTTTCTGTTACAGATCGAATTAAAAAGAAACCTCCTTTCACAAATTTTTCGTTTCTGAAGACCGCTTTTCATCCTCTAAGTTTCTTAACAGAAAGTATTTCCTTCCTTCCTATATAAAAGGGGGACCGAAAAGTAATGTCGTTTCTGCGCATGTCAACATTGACATGCTAAAGGCAGAAGTGAAAGCAAATCCATGTCAAACACTCTTAACCAACCTTGGTAGACCATCCAAGATCATTTAAAGCAGAATAGAAAAATAAGCAAAGCAGGTGTTTGAGTCCCCCATAATCTGTCCGAAAAGAGCAAAGCCAACCTATCCATCACATGCAAAGTATTGCTTCAACGACACCATACAGAACCGTTTTTTGATCGCTTGTTTAGTGGAGACAAAAAAAAAATAAGTCCTGTATGATAATCCCAAACTCAAAAGGCAGTTTTACAAGGGGTTTACATCCCGAAAAGGCGCTTCTGGGTGTTTGATGGACTGTAAACAATTGGATGGACTGAACTAATCTTTAATCGAAAAATATCAATTGTCAACAGAAAAGCGTCATTCTGCAACACGATCGCACTGTGCAAGACGAACACTGGAAAAAAATAATTAATTGGGGTTTGAGGTACTGTCATACTCACCCACCATACTTCAGCCCGATATCGCAGCCCACCGGATTTTCCATTTATTCCGGATCCCTACAACATTTTCTTAATGTGCACAAAAATTTGAAAATTTGGATGATGTCCAAAATGTCCTATCTCGAGATATTTTAACTCAAAAACCAATTGATTTTTATCGGTCTGGGATTGAAAATTTACGGCATACTAGATGGCAAAGGTTGCTTGATAACAGAGGGTGATTATATTATTGATTAAAAATAAAAACTTGTTAAAAATGCATTCGTTTGAATTTAATGTAAGAAAGCGACATTACTTTCCGGTCCTCCTATTATTAATGTAAGTTGGATTAACTCATTTTTGGACAAGACGTGATTATTAGTTTAAAATTTACATCGATATTTAACTTGAAAACTGATGAGAGAAAACCAGTAAAAACTCTTAAATCTAAGAAAAAAAAAGAGAGAGAGAGAAAATGGTAAACCGATAAAAAAAGACTAAAATTTAATTTGATATTGTCATACTTGTACGAATAATAGTTAACGTAGTGGAAGGAGATAAGAAAGAGATATTATTGTTTGGAGAAGGAATCCTCTTCCATAAAAGCACGGTAATTGTCTTTCTGGGCCATATTTTATGTACTATAGCCAATCAACTCTGCTACTGAACCTCCGTCTCTTTCATTTACTTCAATGTGATTTGTTTTGTTTACGTTTCAGAATGTTTTTAAAGTAAATATGGAATCGTCGCTTAAAATACTTACGTTGTAGCTTGCTACTTAGTTATTAGGGTGATAGTAATGAACAAAATTTTGCATCTTATCCCATTTTGATAGTTTCATGGTTCCAAGAGCTGGATTAGTCTTCTCTTCCTTTCTCTTTCTACAGAGGCCTTTAATTGCTACTCCTTTATGTTGTTTAAATTCTTTCGAGATGAGCTCATTTTAAGGTCCTTTAAAAATTCTTGCAGGCGTTTTTTGTTACCTACCAAACCCAGAGTTTTTCTTAAATATACAATTACTGATTTAAAAAACAGAATCATGTTAAATAGTTCTACAAAAACTCATCAAAATCTGTGTCTGCAACACAATCTTGCCATAATTTCATATAGACCGAACTCGTGGTCTTGTAAATAGTAGTCTTTTATATATTGTTTTTCTTTCCGTCTTAAGGTCATCCTCTATATCTGAATGTTGATAACTTTTTCTCAAAGCCCGAACTTTTCTTTTTAGAGTGTCAAAATCTGGATTCCACCAGTTGATTTTTTTCTCTTTATTTTTAACGACAATAATATAACTCTCAAAACATCTAATCATCCTTAGAGACATTAAGTAAACTGGAAGCAGGAAAGATGAGAAATGAGCAACCGCCATCGCCGAGAATCGAACCGCGAATCTCTTGAATACGCGCGCAGTGTGCAGTTCGGTAAATTAGTGCCACGCAACGAAGGCGTGCCAAGAAGGCTGGAGAAATACTTTATATACCTCCCTTTTAAAGGCAGTCTGGGGTTTTAGAGGACCCAGTCGCTAAATCCTGGGTGAGGAGAATCATCATCCAACACCCTTTTAGTTCGGGCGCCACTGTAGATACATTAGGTAATTTTTTAAAGAAGGCAAGATGAAAAATATGCAACGCCTATGCCGGGAATCGAACCACGGACCTCTGGAATACGCGCCCAGTGTGCACACCACCACACGTTTTAGTTCGGACGCTAGTTGTAGACACATTAGGTAAATTGGAAGCAAGAAAGATGAAAAATGTGCAACCGCCTTCGCCGGGAATCGAACCGCGGACCTCTGGAGTACGCGCCCAGCGTGCAGACCATCACACCACGAAGGCATGACAAGAAGGCGGGAGAAATACATTATACATCAAAGTCTGAAAACAAATTCTTAAAATCACAAATTTTATGAAAAAACAGAATCATGTTAAATAGTTCTACAAAAACTCATCAAAATCTGTGTCTGCAACACAATCTTGCCATAATTTCATATAGACCGAACTCGTGGTCTTGTAAATAGTAGTCTTTTATATTTTGTTTTCTTTCCGTCTTAAGGTCATCCTCTATATCTGAATGTTGATAACTTTTTTCTCAAAGCCCGAACTTTTCTTTTTAGAGAGTGTCAAAATCTGGATTCCACCAGTTGATTTTTTCTCTTATTTTTAACGACAATAATATAACTCTCAAAACATCTAATCATCCTTAGAGACATTAAGTAAACTGGAAGCAGGAAAGATGAGAAATGAGCAACCGCCATCGCCGAGAATCGAACCGCGAATCTCTTGAATACGCGCGCAGTGTGCAGTTGCATAAAATTGTTTTAAGATAATTTAAAACCATTGAGTAAAGCGTTCTTGCGCGTTCCAAAGTTGGTATAATAATTAATTTGAAATTAAGACTCAATTAAAATTTTCCTCAATTGCTAGAAAGTCTAAATCGAAACTTCAGGCGTGAAAACACTTAAAACCTTGATACACATATATTTAAATTAAAAATTCATACAAATATACTGCATGCACAGAAATGAGGGTGAAACCTCTCTGATAGAAAGGGAAGGTAATAGAGATTGGTCGGCGGCCGAGGAAAACCTATACAAGCAAGGAGAAAGCATCAATTTTTAGTTTTTAGTTCAGTGTTAGATCTCCGTTTGAGGTTTTTATATGTGCTTTGCTTTGCGTTGTGTTTCACGCTCTTAGTAGTTTGCAGTGGTATTTACTGATTATTCTCTGTTATACCGAGAAGAGCTGTAAGAGATTCTCGTTCCCGAATCGGGAATTCGTGAAATTCGTGAAACTGTGCGAAATTCGGGAACTATAAAGTTTGTGAGGGGAAATAAATTGTATGACTTTATCATATCTTCTGTGCGCATTCAATCCATTACGAGCCCGTATGCACGCGACAAAATATTTAAATTATGAGAATGTCATTTGAAACGCAATCTTTTGCATATCATTCACTTAAAGTGTTCGAAGTACTAGCTCTCCAATATTTATAAGACCATATAACGTAGACACAATCAACGCTATTTATTTATAGAGGCTGTCATTGAGGTCAATGTTGTTAAAGTATATTATTTCATGAGGCGAACGTTTAAAGACGTTGGAGTGATCAAGACTCCTTTAGATGTTACTTCACGGTAATCTCTAGGTAATCTAGGTAATTTCAAGGTAATCTCACAAGATGGTGAATCTTGTGCTGAACTGTTGCTTATTGAAGAAAGCCTTTTTCAGAATAGTAAAGATTTCTGCATTATCTGTAATAGATTTAAAAATATTGCAAAGTATTTTATGTTAATTAGCCAACTGTTATGATGATTCAAGTCTTTACTATAACTTCTCTTTTCTGTAATAAAGACATCATTTCATTCCGTAATAAAGACACCTTTTTCCGACTTTATGAGTATTCCAACCTCAGTGATAACTCTCTAACAGCCTAGTAGGGTCTGCAGGACTTAAACACAGCTTTCAGTTACAGCAGACTCTTTAATATGAATAAAATAGCTGACGGAAATATACATGACTTGGAAACCAATATTTTAGCTATTGTGTAAGTATAATAGTAGCTATAGAAATCATTTTTCCAATTACAAAGTTTTCGTCTCTAATTAGCAGAGTGTACTGCGTTTGTGTGAGCTCATCTCTCTCTCTCTCTCTCGATATATATATATATATATATATGTATATTTATGTATTTATATATCCTATTTTCCGGCGTATAACGAGTATCACTCGCGTCAATAATTTCAAACAACATGTTTTTTAATTCTTGGGTATATTCGTCGTATAACGCGCACTTAATTTTTCTCGAGCACTTAATTTCTTCGTTATGCGACGAATGCTTTTATCTTTTGAGGTCATTTACTCGAAGATTTGTCCTAGCGTATAGAACAGCAAGCGATAAGGGGAGGAAGTAAATATTCCTACAAAGAATGTGGATTGCATTCAGTGGGGTTGCAGAGTTTGGAGAAAAGAGGGATATACTTTGGAGTAAGGCATTTTTCATGTCTTTAGCATTAAAAAAAACCTAATGATTCAACAAGTTGTGATGAGCAACAATTATACAGAGAATTTAAAATACTAGATTACATATTTAATGAGCAGTTTTATCCAGAAAGGTGAAACGGTTTTTATAAAATTCTGTACCTTATTCTGAGAAACTTTAAAACAGAATTATTAAAACTACATACATCATTAAAATAGTTCTTACCTTGATGTATTCCGCTTTATAAATGAAAATGTATGGAGTGAAACCAAACCATTTTAGAAATACGCCTTCACGCTGGAATATGTACGCTTCCGCACTTAAAAGTTCTAACAAATCTGTAAAGAGTAAAAGAGAAAACATAATTTTTGTTTTACTAAATTACAGGGCGTTTATCGTGTTCTTAATGTCAACTATCAATTCCTAATTTATTCTTAGTATAGTTTCATAATTTAAAATTTTTATACATCTCCGAGTCTTTTCTAATCCGGTAATTATTATAGCCGTTGAATTGTTTCGATGAATGTGTTCCAGCGAATGCTATCAGTCATTTAAGCATCTCGTCATTGAAAGTTTTATCCATTGCACGCCCCAAGCGGTGATTAATATTGCATTTGTAAGGTAGAAAAGAAGGAATGCATACAGTGAGTGCAGAAATTACTCGTACAAGAGTAATTTCGTGAAACCAACTATTGTTTTGACGTACTAATTCTGCTGAAACTTCTTCTAAAGGCAATAACTAATAAAAAACGTTCACTAAATACGAGTGCAAAAGCCATGTGGAAAAGATATTGAATTAGCTTTCAAATATACGGGAAAATAAAAATTAGGGGTTTATTGTTGCTTAAAATGTATTCGTACATTCAAACAAATGCAAAATTTTGATAGCATTATCTAATTGGTTTAGTCAGTTTCTCGTTGATAACTGACGTCATTTATGTCGCGGGTTATATAAAACGACTGGGTGTAACTTTAAATGCGATAAAAAAACATAAAATTATAATATGGGGCATAAAGGTAATGAAAGAGTGTTTCTAAAAAGGAATTAATCTTAAAGATTCGTGAACGCGGTAAATTGTACAAGGAAATTTCAATTTTAGTCTGCTGACCACGTTCAGCTGTGCAGTCGATTATTCAAACGTTTATTACCTCTAGAACATTGCAAAATGGTGCTCTTGCAAGACGACCATATCTACTTATATACTTTGACAGACGATTTCTGGCACGTTCGTGGAAGAAAAGACTCCTAAACTTATAACAGTCCGAAAATAAGTGCTCATAAACTTAAAGCAGAATTGAGAAACATGGGAAGAACAGTAGCCGTAGTACAATTCGAAATGCATGCTGAAAACATGGTTTCCACTGCCGTGTTGAGACGAAAATTCGTTGTGAGTGAGAGCAATCGGATGTCGGGATCCAAAAAAAGATGTGAATTTAAAGTCCAGAGTTCTGGAAGAATATTATTCTTTCAGACGAGAATAAATTCAGCGATTTTGGTTAAAAAGGAAGACGAATGGTGTGGAGGAAACGAAATGCAGGAATGCAGTCAAGGAATTTACTACCAACAGGGGTGAAACACGGAGGTAGAAGCTTGTTGGTTTGGGGTTGTATGAGTGCTTCCAAGGTCATTATGAATCATCTGATATACACTGATATTTTGAAAAATAATTTACGGTTTAGTGCGACAAAAATGGGTTTAGATATTGAATATGTTTCCCTGCATGATACTGATCCCAAGCATATAGCTCTAAATACATGGCTCTGGATATTCGATAACGCCCAAAAGTTTATAAAATTTTTTTCTCAGCCACTCTTGGTCAATCCCATTGAGAATTTATGGAAAACTCTTGATAAAAATGTTAGATCCAGGCACACTTCTAATAAAAATTACTTAATAATTGCTTTCTTCTGACATAGTATTTCTTTAAAAGTTTTTGTCTTTTCTAAGACAGAGAGAGAGAGAGCTCTCTCTGGATGCGTTGGGAATTAAAATAGTCAAAAAAATTATTTAAATAGCCTCTGGCTTAACAAACACAGATAGTGACAACATTCATCATGTAATAGAAGACAAAACATTGAAAGTCCTGGGATTGGAATGGCATTCGGACAATGATGAATTCAAAGGTAATGTCGGTGTAATAGAGTATCAAAGTGTTTCCGACTAAAAGGAATTATTTTGTCATTCGTAGCAAAACTATTCGATCCATTGGGGTGGATAGCTCCGTTTGTAATTCTCGCTAAAATGATCCTTCAGCAATTGTGGAAATTACAATTATCATGGGATGATCCTGTAACAGAAGAGATTGATCGAAATTGGAGAAATCTATCTATGTAGAGAAGTTAAACTTTTGAATTCTATAAATATACCTAGGAAAATTCTGCTACCTGATTCCTGATTATTTTCGATGTGAACTTCACTTCACGGATTTTGTGATGCGTCTGAAAGAGGGTTATGCAGCAGTTATTTATATCAAAACTTGCAATAACTCTGACATTAATGTTAAACTCGTAACAGCTAAAACTCGTGTAGCACCATTAAAATCTATTACGATTCCAAGACTGGAATTATGTGCAGCAGTGCAGCAGTGTTATTGGCACGCTTGATTCAGTCTGTAAAAGCTGCATTAGTTATAAATTTTGATTTAGTGCAAGCTTGGAGTGATTCACAAATCGTGTTGTCATGGCTAAGGTCAGATCCTAAAAAATGGCAAGTATTCGTATCCAATAGAGTTTCTGAAATACAATCCATCTTACCACCTGAGAACTGGAGTCATGTTGATGGAAAGAAAATCCAGCTGATTGTGCTTCACGTGGATTATTTCCTGCAGAACTATTATCTCATCAATTGTGGTGGTGGAATGGTCCTTCTTGGTTAAAGTGCAGTGAGATTGCCTTGTCTAAAAATATTCTTATAGATGAAGAGGCATTACCAGATGCACGTAAAACAGTCTCATTTGTAGTTTCTGAACCTGTACAGGAACTTGCTATTATATCAAATATATCTTCATTTCCAAAGTTACAATGCATATTTGCTTGGATATTAAGATTCATATCGAATTCTAAAGTAGCATATCTAGAAAGAAATACGTCTTTTTTTTTATCTAGTAATGAAATTCGAGCTGCAACTTTCTGTATTGTCCGAATAATACAGCGATTTCACTTTTTTAAAGAAATTCAATGTTTGGAGTTGGGAAAGGACTTACCTACAAACAGCAACCTCCTTAGCTTGTGTCCAATTTTAGATGACAACAAAGTGTTACGTGTAGGAGGAAGACTGAAAAATGCGCAACTATCAGAAAATGAAAAACATCCAATCTTATTACCTTCAAAACACAATCTGACAGAAATCATAATTAGACACTTTCATGTCAAATATCTGCATGCAGCACCGGAACTTCTTCTATCTTTAATTAGACAGCAATTTTGGATCATAGCTGCTAGATCTGCTATCCGAAAAGTAGTAAGATCTTGTATCACGTGTTGCAAACTTAGAGCTAAAACTGCAAGTCAAATAATGGCTGATCTACCGGAATCTAGAGTAACACAATCGCGACCATTTCATTTCATCGAACTGGAAATAGATTTTTCTGGACCGTTCATGATTAAACATCGTGGAGGATATGGACAAAAATCATTTAAATGTTACGTATGCTTATTTGTGTGTTTTGTAATCAAGGATGTGCATCTTGAAGTGGTACAAGATTTGTCAAAAAAAGGCATTTTTAAGTGCATTGAAACGATTTATTGCAAGAAGAGGCAAACCATTTGAGATTTATAGTGACTGCGGTACTAACTTTAAAGGTGCAGACAAAGAAATCAGAAAATGCTTTTTGCAATGTAAGCAAAATCAAAAAATTCACAAATTTTTGTCTTTAGAGGAAATAAAATGGATATTCAACCCGCCATCATCCCCCCATTTTGGTGGACTATGGGAATCGGCAGTAAAGTCAATGAAATTACATCTAAAAAGGACTGTTACTGTTGGTGATACTGTGCTGACCTATCCGGAATTTCAGACCTTGATAGCGCAGGGTGAGACTTGTCTCAACTCTAGGCTATTGTGACCAACATCGGCTGATCCAAATGATTTAACTGCATTAACACCTGGTCATTTCCTAATAGGAACGTCTTTAACTGCCATACCTGAACCAGACCTAAATTATAGTTTCTTCAATCACCTTGACAGATGGCATGTGAGACAGTTTTTTTTTTTTCAGCACTTCTGGAAAAGATGGAGTCGAGAATACCTGTCTCAGCTTCAGCAAAGACCTAAATGGCAAAAAAGTCAAAACAATTTAGAAGTCAATGACTTAGTCCTCATCAAAGAAGACAATCCTTCCGCCTCTTAAATGGAGGTTAGGGAGAATAATTGCTGTTCATCCGGGCTCAGATCTAGAGTCAGAGTTGTTAGTATTAAAACTGGTCATGGTGTCATAAAAACGACCAGTCGTGAAATTGTGTCCTCTTCCTATTCAGACTAAAAAACTATGAACTGCTTCGCATATAATATTTTGTATTATTTTTCTTATGTTTATCTTTTATTACAGACTAAGAAGTTTCAAAATGCTCCAACTGTTGAAATCCCCTGGGATTTCAACGAGGGCCAGGATGTTTATGTGAGTATCGTTTGCTTCATTTTATTGTTGCAAACAGCGTAAATTTCTTTTGTTTTTCTTCCTTTAGTTTTGAACTTTATGTGTGGCAACAAGATAATTGATTGATGAAATTGCGTTTGTGACAGCCATGTAGAGTGGCTCGCTTATTTTGTATCAATTATTTCGCATCGCTGACATCTTATTTATAATTAGTGTAATGAAATAAAAGTGAAGGAATACAGTCCATGTGTTAAGTGATTATTGTTTGTGAAACGTATTAAGTAAAGATAATTTATTACTAGATTTATATAAAACATTGTTCTAACGTACTTATTCTCACACAAAATCGGACGAGTTTTGTAAAAAGTTTTGTAAAAATCATACGAGTAGTTTTTAAAAAATTAGCGTTAAAGTTTTAGCTCAAGTTAATTGAATTTGGCATATATTTATTAATATCTCTTTTTTTATTGAACTTAATTCCTGATTCGGAATTCAGGTTCATTCCAAATTAAATTCGCAGATATTTTCTGATTTGTTTCTAAAATTTGTATTTTTTAGTAATTTGTAAAAATTTTTTTAAAACATTTTTGAATTATAATCTATCAAATTTTTACCATCATCTTAAAGTAAATGTATTTCTAGGCATAGCAAAAAGAGTTTTTTATACTAAATCTCCAAAAATATACGTGAATTTATATATCGTCGTGTTCTGAAATTTTGCATATTTGTTATAAGCGACAATA